CTGCCCCCGCAGTGGGCGTTCAGCTCCTTCCAGTGGCTGGGGCCTGCGGAGGCCGTGGGGTCAGCACTGGTGGGTCTGGAGCTCCCCTGACACCTCTCCCGAACTCCTGGCATCCCAGAGGAGCCACTTCCCACCCAGCCAAGCGGCAGCATCCACACACAGAGACTTCCTTAAGCCTCCTTCTTAAATGGTCAGCACGGCCAGCTCCACGACCCCGGGCTGATGGAGGGGCTGCACCGGCCCCACAACGGCCGCTGTGGAGAGGCCGCTTCTCTAAGGGGAGCAAATTGGACCGAACTGAGCGTCCGTGACGAGAGGACGGCCAGAAGACGCAGTGGGGCAAAGGGAGGGCACAAGGACCATCCTGCACAGAGCGCTCCCGGCCCTGCAAACCAGCTGCTTTCGTTAAGGGCTGCTCTGCCTCTTCCAGCCCTGTGCTGGCACAAACATGCCCTTGCTGGTGAGCCGACCTCGGTTAAACTGCCAGCCCCGTCCGGCTGTTCATCAAGGAGCAGTAAGTCGTGCCCAACTGCTAATGCTCTCCAGACGCAGGTTATGCACCCCGGGCACTGGACATGGTGTACATGCACCAAAGAGCTATAAAACAGTTGGACCATCACAGATAATTACCTGCACATTGAGCCTTAATTAACCTTTTACAAGCTATTTGCATGCTTCAAGACCAAGCGGCACCCAGCCGCTGTATCGCGGGGCGGATGGTTATTTTCTGAGCAGCAACAAGAAAACTCCTTCCGGCTCCCAACATGGCACCGTCCTTCCTCACGCCGCAGGGAGGTCTCGCTGCCTCCCTCCTACCCATCAACATTGTGGGTGTTGCTGAGGGCAAGTGCTAAATGCAGATTTTCATCTGCTTCAACGAAATCCGGAGAGGCCAATCCTGCCCCCTTGGTAGCATCCTGGAGCTGATCCTTGCTGGAGGTGGGAGCTGAGCCTGAGCCCCTCCAAGGGGCTCTGGGGATTTGGTTTAGTTTGTGTGTGCGCGAGCCGGAGGTTTCAGCTGCACAGCGCTGTGGCCATCGCCACCTTTGCACCACACAGTCCAACTTGCCCCTCCCCAAGCCCTTGTCCCTGCAGTGCCTTTGCCACCAACCCGCCCGACTGCTTCCCTCGTGGCCTGGCCCCTTCCAGCTCCCTGTGCCTCACATCACCCCTCTGCAGGGCCACTTCCCTGCAGGAAAAGCGGAGTGCTCAGGGATTCACACATGAGACGCAGAGGCAGAGCAGGCTGTGTCCATGGGGTCCTGAGGGACGGGGCCTCCGCAACGCAGCACTCACCGCACTTGGGGTCCTGCGAATCATAGCACCACTGCCCTGTGGGGAGAGGAGAGCTCCAGTGAGAGGACAGTCTGTACTGGAGGATCCCGAGTGCCTCCTGCTCCTGCCTGCACAGGGCGGGAGGAGGAAGGGGGCCCCGTTTGCACCTAGCGCCACGGGGGACATTGCAAATGGCCCCATGCTCCCTCCAGCAGCGCGAACACCCTGAGCAAGGGGCACAGGACTGCCCAAGCCACATGCTGGGACCGCGCAGTGAGGGCCGCACTGTGTCCCACGGTGCCCGTTCCTGCTCTTAGTGCCAAACGCCCCTGGTACCTCAGACCTGCTGCTGGCTCCTGCCCCGGCTGCTCCCAGCGCTGCCGCTCAGCATGTTCGCACCCT